TATATATATATATTACGAGAATTAGAAGTGTGCAATTGGAAAATATACAAAATATATACAAGATCACATACTAATAGAGCAAAATGCAAACTTACATAATGCATGAGTTGCAGAGCATGGTTACTATTTCGTTGATTGCTTGTATTCTGTCGGGCGATATTTTTAGCCAGTAATTAAAAGCATGGGCTAATTTCACAGTTATCTGCCTTCCAGGAACTTGAAGATAGTATCTGATTGGTTCCAACAGTTTCTACGAAAAATCATGTAATTTTTTAGTCTTTGATTAATTATAAGTCACCAAAATTTGTTTACTCATCGCAAACAAATTAAAGATTTAAAAAAAGAAAAATCCAATAAAAACACTAACCTCATCTTCCTGCCTGTCGCCGCTCAGAGAATAATAAAACGGATTATTCTCATATGTATTTGTCATGTTTCCGATTCGCAGCGATACTTCTCTCTCCAGAAAAATTGTAAGATTTCAAAGAGAATAATATCTCGTATATACAATTTTCCAATCAGTTAGAGACACAGACTTCTATCAGACACATATATTCAGCCTATTTTACCTTTCTTCAATCGTCAAAAGTATGTTATAGTCGAGCTTATGGTTCTCCGGTATCTTAACTAATAGCTTTGTAAATTCTCAGTATCACAAAGGACCCTTGATATATCATAAAAGGAAAGATAATGAAAATAAAAAAGATATAAAGAAAAAAAATATTAAATTGTATTACTTTATTTCATCTTTTTTGATATCATGAGATATGGTAGTGTCTCGCGCTAAGTTTAATTTTAATCCTTTTCGTTCCCAGCCTATCTGGTAAAGTTACCTCTGTGAAGTTGGCACCCCATCTTTTAAAAAACTAAATTTTTTTTAGAGTTCTGAATGCACCCCGAAAAGTTCTAGAGTTCCTTACTAATTTTAAAAATAGTTCTGGCGAATTAAGCTAAAAAAACCATTTTTGAATCTTGGGGGTGCTAACTTCACCAGATGAAATGTCTAAATCAGCGATAACATTATAACTACTAAAAATAATTAATTTTGCTATTAGGATTTCTTTTAGAACTCTTGAGGTGCTACCCAGAACTCTCAATAGAACTGCCAGAACTTAAAAAAAAAATTTTTTTTTTTATTCAACACATGAAAAATCGCGAGAACTTTTTGTATATCAATCTTAGCGCTTCGAGCATTAAGAATTATTGGTAGAACTCGTGAGGTGCTACCCAGAACTCTGATAAAATCACCGGAATTCCGAAAAAAATTATATACATACCTTTCACTATTCGTCTTTCTTTCTCCTTTCTCCTTCCTTTCTCCCTTCTCTATCTTCTATCTTTCTCTTTTTTCTTTTGCCTATTTTTCGTCTCCTTTAACTTTATTTTCTTTAATTTTATATTTTTTTATAAATTGTCAAATTATTTATCAGAATTCATGTGAAGTTTGAATAAAGTCGTACACACCAGAACATCAAACGTATACTGTTCTTGCTGTGTGATTGTATATTCTTTATATACTATTTCACCCCTCTACTTTACCCCTGCATATTAAATAGGCAATAACTGAGTATAACTGAGTGTATACCAGAGGCCATATTCTTGAAAAATATCGCATACGATATTTATCATAGCGCAGTTATTTTCCGATACGTTTTAGTTGCGCAATGACAAATATCGTATGCGATATTTTTCAAAAATATGGCCCCAGAGTCAAAACTGCGACTGATTTACAGCCAAGTTCAGAGGTTATCTTCCTAGTATACAATGCGACACGTCTTATAAGTTCCTAATTTGTTGCTTGCAAAATAAGTATTAATAATGCCGGAAAGCCGCACAGCGTGCAACCTTACAAGAGTAAACTATCAGAAAAAAATTTGTTGCTCGCTTAAATTTGATACTGACGTATTGTCTGAATTTGTTGCTCTCGAAATATGCAAGTTCCGAATTTGTTGCTTGCAAAATAAGTATAAATAATGCCGGAAAGCCGCACAGCGTGCAACCTTACAAGAGTAAACTATCAGAAAAAAATTTGTTGCTCGCTTAAATTTGATACTGACGTATTGTCTGAATTTGTTGCTCTCGAAATATGCAAGTTCCGAATTTGTTGCTTGCAAAATAAGTATAAATAATGCCGGAAAGCCGCACAGCGTGCAACCTTACAAGAGTAAACTATCAGAAAAAAATTTGTTGCTCGCTTAAATTTGATACTGACGTATTGTCTGAATTTGTTGCTCTCGAAATATGCAAGTTCCGAATTTGTTGCTTGCAAAATAAGTATAAATAATGCCGGAAAGCCGCACAGCGTGCAACCTTACAAGAGTAAACTATCAGAAAAAAATTTGTTGCTCGCTTAAATTTGATACTGACGTATTGTCTGAATTTGTTGCTCTCGAAATATGCAAGTTCCGAATTTGTTGCTTGCGAAATAAATATGATGATGACTTTGGTCTTGATATATGTTGTTAAGGATATGATCTGACAAGTAATGAATGGTGAAAGCGGATGTGCGATACCTGAATTTGGAGCTAATACAAGAACATTATCAAACTTAAAAAAATTTGATTCTACTCGAGGTCCAAATTTTCCATTTTTTTCTTGTAAAATAATTAATAGCGACAAAAGGTTTAATAGGTGACAAAAGAGAACCACTTGCTGATATGATGGGTTGAATTGTATAGCTATGAGTCATAGAGTTCATAGATTGGGTTAATGTTCCAATTTTTTGCTGTGAGATGCACACAGGATGTACTTTATCAGATCAATCGTGGGGATCCGGATGTGTACATTTATAAATTGAAATCCGATTGATCAGAGTTAAAAACATTATCTACTCCAACTAGTGAAATTTCTGTTTTTATCTTTTCAACAAAGTTATTAGCCTCTATCTTTAGTTTATTTATATCTGTTATGGTTTTCTGCGTTATAAATTTATTTATTTTTCTAGAAACAATGCGGTGTTTCTGTTTGAAATTATGAATCTATTTTTCAGATGCTTTAAAAAAATCTGCCGATAATTGCAATTGATTTCTAGTATTCAAACCCCATTTACGAATATCCAAATTATAAATTGGTAAGGATTTTTGTAGAGCGTCTTCAAATTGAATTAATACATATTCTGAAATTTTTATTAGTTTTTCGCGCGTATTTCCGCCTTTTGAAATTTCTTTTTCCCATTTATATAATTGGCGCTTTGAAGTAATACGTTCAAATCTGGCTTTGACTGTTGCAAACCTCAATTTATATTTTTTCCTGGTTTCCAAAATTCAATAACTCTTTGTTTATATTTTTCATCGCATTCTTCTGTATATTCGATAGATGAATTTTAATTAGAATTCGTAATATCCTGAATGTAATCATCATCGTCATTTTTTTAAATTGAAACTGTATCTGGAATAACACTTGCTTCTTCAAAATTCAAAGTAGTATAGGTTTCTATATACAGAGATTCTTGAATGGCATCTTTTATCAGATTCTTTAATTGGAAACTGAATCTTCTCTCATCTTCGCTCTGGTTTTTTCTTTTTTATATAACGGTCTATTAAATTACTGCACCCGACTCTTATTAGCGCTTTTTGCTTATTTGTATTGTATTTGTATTAATTTTGTTATTTATTAAATATTTTTCTGATATTATTTCTTGTCATACCTCTCTTTCTAACACTTTTTAAAATAAATGTGAATAAAATTAGACGCATAATTGTTGGCAACTATACCTCGTATATGCGAATATCATTGATTAATATCTATACTACCGCGGTTTATATATCTAAGGTTAACATGTCGCTAGATAATCAACAGTAATTAATACTATTGTGGCTTCACATCGTATTGTGTATAGACTAATTTAGCGGGGCCCGGCAGTTTAAAACTCCTTAATTAATAAATTACTCGTAATGTCTCGCGCGATGCTTTCCATTCAGAAAGAATCGGCGTGAGGATGCCTACTATTTTCGATTTTTTTTAATAGAAAAAAACGAGACAGAAATAAAAGGTAAATATTCACATAAGGTCACCATCTTCAAAAGTCAATGACCTTACATATATTGTCAAGGTCACTGTTCTGAGTAACATGCAAGAGCTTTTAGCCATCGCACATTGTTTATTAAAAAGTTATTAACAAAAAAGTTTATTAAATAAAATGTTATTTTTTTGACACCATGTACGTTTTATAAAATCTATTCTTAGCAACTTTATTTATTTACTATGTACTAAATCGAATACGTAGGCGGGGGTTGGATTTCATTCCTTTCCGTGCATCCCCAATTTTACGCAAAGCGAGGTTTCATATGGATTTACAACTGTCCACAGAAAGCGAGGTTCAACTCAAACCTATGTGTCTAATTTTTTGATAGTGGAGCTCCCCCGCAGGGGGAGCGGACACACTGTCTCCACGCATACACTTACTATACATTTACCATATATATACATCAGAGTCGGCCACTCATCTAAAATATATACATTACAATTCTGAACTTTGCTTTGTCTTGCAAAGTACATGCGTGAACACAGTGGGTTTCGCCCCCCCCCCCCCCCCCCCCCGGCTCCATTATCATAAAACTAGACAAATAAGTTTGCATTGAACCTCGCT